TAAACCAACAATGTATGTTTGTAGCTTTAAGACAAAAATCACTGTATTGATTTATACTATATTCCAATTGGTTGATTATATTGCAAATTACCATAAGAGGGAGCTAGAGATCATAGCTTGCTCTCGCTGACATTCTGTCTCTCTGACATTCTGTCTCTCTGACATTTTGTTGCTATCTAAGGTTCTCTGTTGTATTTATGCTGTGCTTATACTTTGATATTTTTGTTTACTGTAAATGACAAAGGCAATCAGTAAGAAGACTTTGTAATTGGATATTCTTTGGACTGTAAAACGTATATGACCTGGACCGTTTATTGGACTGTGCTATTCTTAAAGTAAACTTTAACTCAGTTTAGTGTATCTGTGTGTGGCTGAATAATTATTCATAACTACTCTCATAAATGTTTCCATGTGCATATCCTTGTTACTCAAGGGTTATTCTGTACATATCATAACACATTTCACTTCTCTGATATTGTGCATTTCTTGAATTGGCAAAAAAAAAAAAAATGCAGGCATACTCTGGCCTGCTCCAATAACCAAACCCTATTCTGGCTCAGGAATGAGACAAAAGACTGATACACGTTTATGGGGAGAGAAGTTAAAAAAACTGACTGTTAGGTTCTCTAGCTTTATTTTCATTCTCACCAAGGATAGACATCCATCCATTACTCTCTTTAATATGGGATGGAGGGAGCAGAGAGAGGTGAATTCCCACAAATGGCCAGACCAGTAAGTTTACTCATCTGCCAAAATTTGCTCTGATTTTGTATTTGTATTCTGCATAGGTATTAGAGTCTTGTTCCAGCTGATAATTGGGTTCCCTTCCTTAATGCTGTTCTGGAAAATGATGTGTAAAAAGATTATATAGGTGATCCTCATTTAGTGATAGCCCTGTTTAGTGATTGTTCAGAGTTACAATGCTGATAAGAAAATAATTTTGTAAACAGTTCTTGCATATATGACCTTCACAGGTCTATAAAGCAAAAGGAAGATGAAGTAAGACTATAAATGACATTTTACTTAGTGACTGTTTTACTTAATGGCTGAGTTACCAGACCCAATTGTGATCACTAAATGAGGATTACCTGTAATTTGAAATGTGCAACATAATTGCCTATATTTAATCTGTTTTCCATTTTCCCCTATTGGTCTTTGCCTCTGCATGGCTCTTCTCTGAGAATTTTCCAACAATGATACTTTAAAATTAACTTTCACAAATATAAATTTTGGCTACAATTTTAAAGACAAATGATGGTACTAATAAGGCATATTTAGGAAGACTTACGTTTCTGTAAAAATTGTACAAAATAAAAATAGCACAGAAGCAATCCAGTCGTAAGACAAAGGGAACCGAAAACCAGCCCAATTATTAACCGAGTAGGCGAGTTAGGTTCTGTAGAAAGAGAATAAGAAAAGAAATTATGTTCCATCAGATGCACTCAAAGTATTGATTACTCTTGGTACTTTTAATAAGCAAGCATTTTGCATGTAATTACATAAGAAACAAACAATGCTGATATAGGGTATTCTGTCATAAGCAAAACAGTAAGCTATGAGAGGAAATTACTGCACCACCTAGTACAACCTAGTTGAGTCTGGGGGATAATCCAACCTCACATTTCATTAATAGATTTTAAAAGCAGGATCTTAAAATATATCTAGAATTTATGAGATGTGGACCAATTCTAGTCAGTCACCACAGGCCTCTCAGTGCATACAAAATATTTTGGGTGGTGGGTTTCCTCCAATAACGTACTACATAATGAATATTTCCTTACTCTGAAGCACAAACACCATTTTATTGCCAATTGGTACTCTTTGCCTGAAATTTTATTTTGTGGAATGTTTTATCAACATGAACAATTTGAGGTCATATAGAAATATTGCAGTACTAGCTTGGAGTTCTGGGCCTTGGAGTCCCAATGCACTTGACTTTGTCTTTCTATTTCTCTTCTATTAGTTATCTCACTTTTTCATAAACACTTTCTTTTTAGATAAAACATTGTAGACACTTCCATAATTATTTGGGGAAGGGCATATACTTCTATCTGAGACTGTAAAATTATAGGTAAAAGTTGTTCACCACCGAGGTCAACCCTTCTGAAAAATCAGGAGGATCATTTATTTAATACTTTAAGTACAGATAATCCTCAACTTACAACCACAATTGAGAGCCCAAAATTTCTGTTGCTAAGCAAGAGAGCTGTTAAATCTTTCATAACGAGTACCTGTTACTGTTAAAGTCACATTGTAGACTGGATAGCTGGCAAATGACTTATGCTTCACAATACAATAATAGACGTTTCCTTGATCTTGTGAAGATGGTTGAAGTCTCAGTTTACTGGTGGTGTTGTAAGTACCATCATCATTTCTCACAGATGTTCCCATGTAAATATCCTCTGAAAGTACACTTTTATCCGACGTATGCTTAGAATGCTTTTGCCAAAGAATGACAATTGAATCAGGATAGAATTTATTCACTGTACATGTCAGTCTCTTTACACTTCCTTTTTCAATTTCAAGTTCCTTGGGAGACAGTTGGACAGTTGGTTCAACTATATTGTATTTGAATAAAAATGGAATTGGTTATTGATTTTTCTACATATGTTGTATTTTATTTTGCCTTTCAGCCTCCCAAACAGCATTTGCATTTAACATCCAATTCAAATAAGAGCTAAGGGGAAAAGAAAAAAAAACCACTACAGATTTCCCATAAACTATGAAAGAAAGAAAGAAAGAAAGAAAGAAAGAAAGAAAGAAAGAAAGAAAGAAAGAAAGAAAGAAAGAAAGAAAGAAAGAAAGAAAGAAAGAAAGAAAGAAAGAAAGAAAGAAGGAAGGAAGGAAGGAAGGAAGGAAGGAAGGAAGGAAGGAAGGAAGGAAGGAAGGAAGGAAGGAAGGAAGGAAAGAGGGAGGAAGGGTGGAAGGAAGGAAGGGAGGGAGGGAGGGAGGGAGGGCAAAGTATGAATCAGTGTAGGCATGTGGTGGAAACAAGGTTGTTTTGAAAGCATAGAAAAATATGGAGAGATATAGTGAATGGTTTGGTATAAATTAGTTTTAGCCATATTTCTTTCTTGTTTATTTTCGTGCATTTACAGTAATTTCTTTGCATGTTATTTTTTCTTTTCGTTTCTGTACTTTTCACAGTGTTACTTATCTCCAAGAAGAGCAGCATGACGGATATGTAGGTATTACGGGGAGAGACTGCTGATTGAAAAGATGATTTTTAAAAATGTAGCAGCTAGCAGGACGCATGCTGTAATGAGTATAGAGGCCTTGAAGGACAGAAGGAATAGCAATAATCAGATAACTGAGACTTGAGCCCAGGGCAAGAAAATGGTTTGGGAAAAGGCTTTGAACAGCCTCCTCTCGCCTAATTCATATGAAGATTAAAGACAGAGGAAGAGAAGAAATCCTCTGCAAGATCCTATTCATAAAAATAGCTTTGGGTCTCACAAAGTGTTCATTTCTAAACCTAGTATAGTTTATACAGCTGACAAACGAACATACATGACAATAGAGCAGAAGGGATGACTTCATCATCTCCAGGCTCCTTCCTGTATAGGCCATTCTGTCCTATCCAAATGTAACTTAATTTTAAAAAAAAAAAGTCACAAAGAAGCAGAATCACAAGCAACATTTGTATGTAGAATCTCTCTCTCTCTCTCTCTCTCTCTCTCTCTCTCTCTCTCTCTCTCTCTCTCTAACATGCTAATTTCCAGATTCCTCCAGCTTTTGTTCAGGAGATAAAAGTCCATAGTGTCATGTTACTTCAGCCTGTTTTGCCATTTCATTATTACACCATTCAAACCCCACCAAATATTTTTAATTTTTGTGTTGTGTTTCATGTGCCATTTATATCTAACTCTTTAGGTAGATAATAGCAGAACACTGACAGGCAAGACCAACCAGAACCCAATGAAGATAGAAGAAGATATGCCTAGATTACCTTGACAACAGCTAATAAGTATGTCTTTGGTTCTCGCTGATCATCCAACCTTCCCAACAAGATAGCAGATAGCAAAGCCTCATCACTTGTATATTCCCTTACACCCTTCAGCTTGAAGGAAGTTTCTTTTTAAACACCTGTAAAGCTAAGAACAACCTATAGGTGTCTCATTCTATGGCTGAAGGCAATATCATGGAGGTATGACATAGAAAATATATTTGTTTATTTCAATGTAGGCACTGCCTGACTGCAACTAATTGGTTGCCCTAATAACAAGAGTTATCAAGACATCTTTATGATGTGGTTAAATAAAATGAGAAAAGTGAACAAGAATGGTCAATGTTGACTCTTCGTAATTGCCGGAAGAAATCCTCGCGGTCTTTTTGGCAAGATTTTAGAAGCGGTTTGCCACTGCCTCCTTCTGACTTCATGCCTAAAGCATGCCTAGAAGTCCCGGTTTCTAGCCTGATGTCCTAACCATAACACCGTAGCGATTCTTGAGACAATATAAAATGGGGAGGGTCTTCCTTTTCTTCCTACCTTCCCCTTTCCAGGGTTCCCCTTTCTTACAAGGATCTAGTTGGAGGGTGCCCATCATAAGAGGGTGACATTTAGAATGCAATCTTATGCAACTGGCAGTCGGATAAATCTTAATAGAGTTTAAGAATTCCAAAAGAACAAGTTCGCTGTTTGGAAAGATGTACCACAAACGTCACTTACCAACTAGATCTAAAATGGTGGTTCCTTCAGCTTTAGCAGAAGCAACAATCACAATGCATATATATTTGCCCTCTTCATGAAGCTGTATTTGTGGAAGGAAAAGGGAGGCATTTCCATTTTTTAATTGAATTGTATCCAGTCTTGAACCATCTCTATTTGAAGAATGTTCTCCAGCAACAACTGAATAAAGTTTTTCTATTTTATTCCTTTCAGATGTCTCCAAATACCAGACGAGTATTGTTTTTTTTATATCCAGTTCTGGAGGAGGGTAGTCAGTGATTTTACACTGAAGTGTCACATTTGTACCCAAGATTGCTGTCTTCTGAAACGGCATGCTTACTTTCAAGGCTTTTTCACACAACAAAATGAAAAAAAAATGGATTGCAGATTATTATGATTAATTGTATTTTCTTCTTCCCTCCCCTCCCAGTCCTCACATTCATAAAGAGCATTGCGAAACAGCAGTGTGGAATGGCAAGAGGCAGAGAGCAATTAGAGGTCATAAAGACTAAGTGGGCTATTGACTACTTTTGGAGTAAGCCAGAATTTGGCAAGGAGTTACACAGTCCAGGTGAAACAATTGTGACTGCATCATTACAAGCAAATTACCACAATGGATAGTTTTGTTTTTCCTTAGCTAATTACAGTTCATCTGTGATCCAGCTAGAATGTTTCAATAAGGAGTCAATTGGCATCAATCCAGTATGACAATAAAGAAACACAAAAAACTCAGAGCACCCAGTTCTGGCTTAATAGAATGTCTGAACCCAGCCCTTTTGGGGAATCAGAGGGCAAGATGCAGGAATTTACTAAATTTAAACCAATAATCAGAAGTTTATAACGTTTCATTTGCAATCTGTAAATCTTATAATACTCATTTGACTAATCCCTCCCCACAATATAGTGTCCCTTGTAAAAGGGACACCTGTAAATTAATTTCACTATGATGAATGAATGTGTTTTTTGTCAAAACTAAAGGAAAGATCAAAGTAATACTTGCATTTTGAGTCTGGGTTTTATTAAATGATGAACATATTAGATTATATTTGGAGGAGTATAACCACTGAGGTTGTAAGTCACGGTTTACGGTTCAGGGTTTATCAGCAGACCAGGCTATTGATAGTTTAAACAAAGAGTTAATAGAAATAACAGTAATAGCATTGCCGAGTTGAGGTGTTTTCAAATTCATACACAGATCCAGAGCACGGAGTTTAACGAATAAGAGGGCTCGTTCCTGTGGGGAACGTTTTAAGGAGATTACTTTTGCTCTGAGCGAAAAACGCATTTTGCAAAACGCTGTCGAGGGCGCTCGTTGAAGGAGCGAGGCCAGGTGGCTCTCGCCTCCAGAGACCGATCTCTGACCTAAAGTCTCGTCCACCTGCCCCAAACTCCGTCCTCCTCCCCAAGTCACATTTCTCACGCTCGACAACTTCTCTTGCATTTGCCCTTGAGGCGCCTTCGCCTCGCCGCCACCTCAAAACAGCAGAACGCAGCAAAGCACTTCCGCCATCCTCGCCCTGCCACCTGCGTTCCGGCCGTCTAAGATGTACAGCAGGCGCGGAATATACATTACATTCATATATATGTATGAATGTAATATATATAAATAAATAAATTAATGTAATGTATAGCAGGCGCGGAAGTGCCCAAAGGCTTTTGCACTTCGTTTTTACTTCCTTACCTGCCAGGCCAGGAACACAGCTGAGACACGCCCAGAGGCTAAAGAAAAAGCAAAGTCGCCTTCGAACGGAGTTTGATTCCTGAAAATTTATGTGGATACATCCAGGTAGTTTTCTTGTAAAGTGAGTCGCCATTGCCCTCTTTCCTTTTAATTTCTCAGTCTGGACTATAGTTTTCAGATAATCGCGCTCTAAAGAGTAATCAGAATCGACCCAACTACACAGCTCTTTAGATCTCTTGCCTGAACGACCAAATCTCCCCCTCTCTGCGATCTTTGTCCCGGAAACGTTCATTTTCACTTCTGGTCTTCCAATGAGTTTCTGTTGCTGAAAAACTGGGAAAGAAAACAGTTACCTAACGCCGTTTCAGAGTCTGAAGGTAGCATACTCAGGCATCTGCTTAATAAAGGAGGACCAAGAGTACACACCGGGACTATGGACGTCTTTTAGGTCTCCTTTAAGTGGAAGACTGCTAACAGAGACTTCTACTGAATTTTTAAAAAGTCAAAAACTTGCATTTAATTAGATTAGAAAACATTTAATATACTGAAATTTCCTGTCAGTGAAAACAACTAATCAGTGTAACAGCTTGCCTCTATTCCTGGTTAAGCAAAGGGGGAAAAACTCACAATATGTTATGTGAAGTGACTGTGTGAGTTTGACAACCAGTAGTTTGGAGAACCGGCAAATACCACCTCTGACTGGCCCTGCCCCATCTATTCTCTGTCTCCTGAATCCCAGCTGATCAGCTGGGTCTTTTTTTGTTGCCCTGCACAGGAGAACGGAGCTGGAAAGCAGGTTAGTGGGGTATGGAGGGAATGGGGATTTTGCAGTATCCTTCCCCTGCCATGCCCACCAACCCACACCCACAGAACCGGTAGTAAAAAAAAAAAAATTGAATCCCACCACTGGTATACAGTGCTGGAGCAGGAGGTTGGACTACTAGAAAGTCTCTAAGGTCCCATTCAAGTCTACTATTCTATGATCTACGTACTATGTTTTATTGGGTCAAAATATACTATATTTCTTTTTCTTTTTTTTAAAGGCAGAGGCCTTTAGATTCTTGAACAACCTTCAAAGCTCAAAATCTACCTCCTCCATAATTCCTGCTAAAGTGCCTGAATGCAATCAATTTAGACACTGTAATCAGCAGCGGCATTCAACATCAGAAGTACGACAGTAGAACAATCTCTCTTAGAAGCCTTATTTGCAAATTCTACCTTGACACTGTTTTGCAAGACAGTCAAAATAAAACTTTTCATAGGGCCTTTGAGGTGGAGCCTAACACCTGATCAGTGTTTTATTGGAACATTTTATCTCTGTACTTTTGTCACATTTTGTTTTGATTTGCTTTTAATCTACCATGAATTGTTCTGATTTGACAGCACGTACAAATTACTGTTTTGACAGGCCTTTGTTGCGTGTCTTTGTAACTGCTGAGACTAAGGAATTCTGATAGTGGATTGTCTGTCTATTCTGTGCAGAATACCCATCTTTTCCTCAGCAAATGATGCCAGGGATTATGGGTTGGGAGGGGGGAGGGCAATCCAAAGTCAATTTTAAAACTGGGCCTTTTCTGCCAGCAGCACAGGAACGTTCCTCACCTGCTACCTATGGGAGGAGAAATAGTACGGTAATTGTTAGGGATACACCCTAGCAGAATTTGCACGGCAGTCAGGCAGGCAGGCAAATATGTGAGATAAACGTTTTTGTAGCTTACACTCAGTAAAACAGATACACTGTGTTAGTTAAATAGTTTATTCCAGTAAGAGTTTTATCATAGTACCAAACAGTCCATATATCATTCACTAGTTCAGTCCGTTCGGGGATTATTCAGTTGCAAAGTCCAGTGTCGAAAAAGAGGTTAGTAAACTTACAAATATCAGTCCAGTAATATATCTCCTCGCAGTAGAGATATAAAGCAGTCAAATCTCGTTTCTTCCTTCGATGTTCAAAAACTCAGCAGCAGGGAACACGCAGTTAGCAAACCATCAATCCAGCATAGTCAGCAAATCCAGCAGGTTCTCTTGCTCCCTCTTATGGCGGTTTTACAACCGCACCCAAAATTACATGCTTTGCAGTTTAAAGTGACACACACTTAAACTTACTATCATAGTTTATATATTTTACCCAAACTACGTTAGGTAACCTTGTTATTCCTAACAGTAATCACCTGCATTTCTGACCTGAATAAGGTTTCTACCATGAATCCATTCTTTACCCATAAACGCCATGTAGAATAAAAGCTGGAACAGAACGGAGTAGGCCAGATTTGGCCCTTACAATAGAATTAATACCAGAAATACTGAGGAGGGTTAAATACCGGTGACAATAGTATTTCATAATTTTCTTTTCAAAATTATAAATGGTCCCGAGCGCTGTGGAATAGGTTTTCATTGAGGATATCTCTGTACTTTGCTCCATTCAGTTTTCCCTTAACCCTAACCATCTCCCAGTCCCTGCTGCTTAAAAACACCACCACAGCATGATGCTTCATGCTTCACTGTTGGGATGATATTGGGCAGGTGATGAGCAGTGTCCGATTCCCTCCAGACATAATGTTTCGAATTGAGGCCAAACAGTTCAATCTTAAGTTTCATCAGACCAGAGAATTTGTTCCTCACCGTCTGAAACATTTTCAGGTGCTTTTTTGGCAAACTCCAAGCGGGCTTTCATGTTTTTTTTGCACTGAGGACAGGCTTCCGCCTAGCCACTCTGCCATAAAGCCCAGATCATGGAGGGCTGCAGTGATGTTTGCCCTGCTGGAACACTGTCCCATTCCCATCTCCACACAGGATTTCTGGAGTTCAGAGTTACCATCAGGTTCTTGGTCACCTCTTTTACTAAGGCCCTTCTCCACCAATTGTTCAGTTTGACTGGGAAGAATCCTGGTTGTGCTAAACTTCTTCCATTTGAGAATTATGGAGATCACTGTGCTGTTGGGAACCTTCAACGCAAACAGACATTTTACTGTAGCCTTCCTCAGATCTGTGCTTTGCGATAATCCTGTCTCTGAGCTCTGCAGGCAGTTTCCTTGTCCTCGTGGCTTTAGCTCTGCTATAGTATGCATTGTCACAGGAGTGGGATTCCAACATTTTTACTACTGGTTCTGTGGGCATGGCTTGGTGGGGTGGGGTGGCTTGGTGGGCGTGCCTTGGTGGGCGTGGCAGGGGAAGGATACTGCAAAATCCCCACTCCCTCCCCACTCCTGGGGGAAGGTTACTGCAAAATTCCATTCCCTCCCCACCCCACTAACCTGCTTTCCAGCTCCATTCTTCTGTGCAGGGCAACCAAAGAAGACCCAGCCGATCAACTGGGACTCGGGAGGCAGAGAAGAGGTGGGGGCGGGGCCAGTCAGAGGCGGTATTTGCCGGTTCTCTGAACTGCTCAAAATTTCTGCTACCGGTTCTTCAGAACTGGTCAGAACCTGCTGAATAGCACCTCTGCATTGTCTATAGAGAAGCGTGTGCCTTTCCAAATCATGTCCAATCAATTTAATTTACCACAGCTCAACTCCAGTCAAGGTATAGAAACATGTCAGCAACTGTCAAAAGAAACAGAAGGCACCTGAGCTAAATTTCAACTGTTTCAAACAGTCTGAATACTTATACCAATGAGATATTTCAATTTTTTCTTTTTAATAAATTTGCAGACATTTCTAAAATTCTGTTTTCACTTTGTCATTATGAGGTAGTGAGAATAAATGAGAAAAAATGAATCTCAACAACTGTAGAATCATGCTGCAGCAGAACAAAATTGACAAAAGTGAAGTGGGTCTGAATACTTTCTGAATGCACTGTATATGTTTTTAATTTCATCCAATGTTAAAACATCACTTAACGATTATTACCATACATTATGACAAACGGAGGAGCTGTAGAAATTTAAAAAAAAGATTGTACAGTATGTGCTGAGTTAACATGCCATGATTTTTAAAAGTCTTATTTATGATTGCTATATGCTTTTGAGATATTTTTTTTTCATTCCACAGCCAACCGGAAGAAAAGAAGCAGTAACCAAAAGAAACTGAGTCTGAATTCAATTTAATCTGATTAAAAATTATACAAAGCACAAGTGGAACAACATTCTTCTTACAAATATTGCACTTGAGAGCATATGGATATGTACAACTTTGCCATTCTTTACATCCAAGGTATTTTTGTCCTGATAAGGTTCAAGATGAAGTTGTGCAGGAACCTGCTGATAAGCCAACCACTTCCATTATAAACTGGCCAACACCAGAAATGTACCACCTCAATACAACTTGCTTTGAGAAGAAATGAATATAACTTATCTTACAATCCATTTGGAAATGAAATGCTACAGTTGATTGGATGGGTGATCTTCTTCCTCTTCTACCTATAGATAGTTCAAATTCATGGTGTTCCCCCCCACTTCTCAATTCTAAAATCCACTGCTATCAAATTCCAATTAACAATATCTGGGTGAAAAAGTATGCTGTCTGAAATTGTGCTGTGAAAGTTGCTTTCCTTTATAACCAGCCCCTTAAGCTATACACAGCATCACAGGTTCCAATCGGTTTTATAGTCAGGGCAAACATCATCCCATTTCCAATTGTCATTGCCCCTGGTGCTGTGAATAGTTTCAGTGGCCTCTGTGGGTGATCATACTCCATCTCTCTTGGCAAATTTTACTTGGTAGGGAGTAGGACATTTACAATGAGACATCGATAACCCGAACAGTTTTGAAGCACACTGAAAAAAACAATAACTGGGATTGGATTGTGCACTATCCAATTCTTTGATTGTATTTATAACTTAAAACAAAGGGATGAATACCATATAAAATTAAAGGGCAATATATTAATAGAGTTATAAAAATGTGCATGATTGTAAATAAAAAAGAAGATAGCTTTTACCAGTCATATACCCACAGGAAAGGTTCACAATATGCATTCAAGATGTTGATTCTAGAAAACGGAAAACGTTTCTGTGGAAGTTTCTATTGATTAGCAGCTAGTTGGGTCTACAGTATAAGAAATAAATAAGTAAGCCATGAATACTCTTTTGGGTTACAACTTCGTGATCCAAATAAGAATTCATTCAACATGGAGTTCCCAGTGGTTCCTTCCATTTGGCTGCCCTATGCCATGCAATATGTCCTAGAACTACACAGAGCAAACAGGGAAGTATCAGTTAGCTTAAAAAAGGGAACAAATTCCATTCACAAGCCTAACAACAGGCTGACTGCAAAAATAATAATAATCCAATATTATCTTTCTAACTTATAAGAGGCAAGTTGTGAGAACTTACTACTTTATAGACCCTTTACGACTTTACATGCTTTTGGCACATTTTGCCATTGATTCAATTACAGCCTTGGGTAAGTGAGATTAAAGGAAAATACTGAACAGGGAAGAGGCCTGAATACTCCAATTAATCCAAGAGAGAAAGAAAACTTGCACAGGGTTTTCAAATTATCTACTTGGACTCCCATGGTCCTTAATAAGATGAGAAACTTCCTAGTTCTATGTAATATGTAAAGCATGAAAGGGTCACTCAGGAAAGAACAGTTTTTTTTTAAATAGTTAAAATTGTTTTATTAAAAAGAGAATTTAATCCATTTGGAGGTCATAATCAATATTATGCGAATCTTGTTAATCAGTAACAAGGGACTGTCTAATTTTTGTTAAAAGAGGGTGTTCTTCATTTTGTTATATACAAAAACTCTGGGTTGTTTTTTTAAAACATGCTCATATAAATAATTATACATTATGTTCCATTTCCTGGAAATAAAATTATAATTCTTCAGTAATAAGATGGCGTTGTGTTCTTATTTTTTTTAATCGTTCCCTTTCTTCTGTCACAAAGAAATGTTGCCTTTGGAAAATAATTTGGATTTTAAGTTTTAATACAAATTGAGGAGAATTTAGACCAGCAAACATTTCTATTTATATCAACAGTACTTGCATCAAAATCAAAGTTAACATAATGGAGGAGCGGATGCTAGTTGAAGGAATAAATTGGATTTGACCTGTAAGGTTCTGGAGATTTCTATGTGTGTTAAAATGGAGAATGTTTATAAGCATGCCTTTTGCCTTTGTAGTTCCTGTTTAAAAATGTAATTAAGTATTTCAATAACATTCAAAATGCAGTTTCTGACAAACATTGTTTGAAACGCACTTATGATTTTGAAATGACTCTTTTATGAAGAAGGAAAAGACAACACAAGGGTTTTGTTAATTCTAAAAATATTTCTGCCATCTAAAGAACTTTCCATTTGTATTTCACAGAGAGATAAATACAACTGGCATGTTACAAAAGGGAGGAGAAGAAAAGTATCCTCTTTGCAGCCAAAATGCAGCGATGAATTGCATTTAGTTAGCAACAATAAAGATGGCTAAATCAATGCACTTCAAGCAGTGTTTCAATGTGAAGAATTGTCACATTGGTATTCGTAGGCTTTTATAAAACAGAAGATACATTCACTGTTTCCGATGTCTCCGTACTGCAATTATACTTCTTTTAAAAAGTAGATTTTTTTTTTGAAATTGGATCACAGATGTTTCTTTTCAATGGATCTTGAAAACCAAAGGAATTGTTACAATTCATTCATCCATAGCCACAAAATTACAGCTCTAAGTTGTTGGCACTTTTAGGAACACGCCATCATGAACTAAAATGGAGATGGAGGTGTTGTTTTGTTTAGACGAGTTTTAAACTTCTCCAACTTCAAACCCATTCGCAATGGAGAACAGCAAGACATTTAAGGGGTTTACTCATCTTAACTTTCTGCTTGACAATATCTCTGTAAATGATTTAATGGTGAAACAGGAAAAAAGATTTTCAAAAGCACAAATGATAGGAAGCCAAATTATACCTGAGACAAAAAAGAAGATTTTGCAGGGAAAAAGTTGGATATCCTGTTGTCTACTTATGTGTAAAGACAAAACTAGAATATCCACAACTTTAAGATCCTATATTATATCATTTGTGCCTTTGAAGATCTACACATTGAATTTGGATTTTAATCCTATATGAATCCCACCATATGAAATGAAACTTAAAAATATCCTTCTTTTCACATTTCTTTTTAGTCTCTGATTATTTCACCCTTACCACCCACCCCAAAATATGTATAAACTGAGGCACAAGTGGTCAAGGATGAGACTGGATATGATCCGATCTAGCAGCTGCTTCTTGCACTGGTATATTTCCTGGTGTTAAAGGCTGATTGCCACCCACTGGATGATTTTGCACATTTCCATCTAATTGTGACGCGGCTGTAACACAAAATATTTTTTGTAATGTTAATTGCGTAAGCAATTGTTTCATAATACAAAGCTCAAAAGCTCATTTCTCATTAAGTAATGTTTTGAAAAAGTCCAAGCACAAACAGTATTTGGATAAGTGAACAGAATATTTCATCTACATATAAAATGTTGCACAAAATATGGAATACACATATTTGTTTGATATATTCTGATATAATGGTAGAAGTTTGAACATGACGCTCGCTGCTGGGACACAGTCATGTGAGACCTGGGGATGCTGAGGGATGGAGCAGCTTGCTCTCCTTCCCAACATGAGCTCCAGAACTTCCAGGAGAAGATTTATGATAAAAGGTAACTAAGCAATTGGTGATAGGAGAGTGGTGGGAAGCAGAGCCTTGAGGGATGCCAAAGGTGGAAAGCAAGTGCTCAAGATGTGGGGGTGGCCCAGGACAGAACCTGCATTGGGTCTCCCAGGACCTTCCAGGGGGCTCTGTGCCACATATGCTTCACTTAATGATCACATTGAGGAGGAGAGGGATGGGGAGGCGTTAAGTGAGGAGGTCACATGGGCATTTCACTTAATGGCCATCATGATTCTCCAAAGCACCTGAGGGCAAGACAAGAAGCAATGGGTGGAAACTAATCAAAGAGAGAAGCCACTTAAAACCAAGGAGAAAGTTAGAACAATTAATCAGTGGAATAACTTGCCTCCAGAAGTTGTGAATGCTCCAACAATGAAAGTTTTTAAAACGAGGTTGGATAACCATTTGTCTGAAGTGGTGTAGGGTTTTCTGCCTAAGCAGGGGGTTGGACTAGAAGACCTCCAAAGTCCCTTGCAACTGTGTTATTCTATTCCCATGATGGTGAACCTATGACATGCGTGCCGAAAGTGGCACATAGAGCCATTTCTGCCAGCATGCAAGCTGTCACCCAGAACTGATTCACTGTGCATGCGTCTCCCACCAGCCAGCTAATTGTCAGCTATCTGTTGTGCATGTGCGGGGGGAGACACAAGGCTGGGAGATGCATGTGCATGTGCAGGGGGCGGGGCATGCAGGGGGCACGCGCACATGTGCAGAGGAGCACGACACGGGGGGTCGCATGCACATGTGCAGGGGAGCGGGGGATTGCGCGCGCATTGCATCACTGTTCTAGTCGAGTCTAGTCTAGTCTATTTCTGACTGTAATGGCCAGGTTCCGTTTCAGGTAGTCCTCAACTTACAACAGTTCATTTAGTGACTGTTCAAAGTTACAACAGCACTGTAAATAGTGACTTATGCCCATTTTTCACACTTATGACCATTGCAAGATCCCATGGTCACGTGATTTACATTCAGATGCTTGACAACTGACTCATGTTTATGACGGTTGCAGGGTTCAGGAGTCACTTTGAGACTTTCTGACCAGCAAAGTCAATGGAGAACCCAGCTTCACTTCCCTACCTTGTTACTAATTTAACAACTACAAATGTGGCAAGAAAAGTCGTAAAATGGGACAAATTCACTTAACAAATTTTTCACTTAACATTGCAAATTCTGGGCTCAATTGTGGTCATTAATTGAGGGCTACCTGTACAGTCATTGGTCGACAACTACCTGCATACTGTCGTGGTAAAGAAAAAGGAGTCCATTGTACTGCCTTGTTTTTTTACTAGGCAGACAAGTAAAAGGAAACCAATGGAAGAAAAACACAGCAGCAGGAAGACAGTTACGTACCTGGTTGAAATTTCAGTTCACCATCTGGACCTGAAGGGGGATGTCCTTGCTGTACCTTCTTCTGCTCCATTTGTTTAATAGCCTGTAAAACAATTAATTTACATGCAGCAAGATGGAGAACATTTAAACCAAGGTCTCCACATTTTCATTTCTTATAATAAACTGGCATTTAGCTTTCTGGCCTTTCTTGCCATGGTAAGCCAGATTCTTCTGTTAAAAAGAAGCTAGCATCTGATTATTTTTTTTGAGGGACCAAGCAGGAACTTACAATTAAAACATACCACAAACACCCAGAGCAGAGTTATAAGGGGGTATGTCTTTACTGAACTCAGTGTTCAAAAAACCAGCCATTTAATTTTGGCAAATAAAGCAAAAAGTACCAGAAGAGACAAAATAACAACATACTAAAATAATTAATCCTCTGCTGTCTTTCCACAATACCCGTGAAAACACTAACAGACAACTGCATATTCTTTAGTGAACTGGTAAACAGACACCCTGTTTGTTTAGAGAAACGGCACTAAACATGGGGGAAGTTTATGTCCTAACAACTTTAAAGATTCTAAAAACAAAAGGAATCCAGTTATAGAAATTTCTGTAATCTATTCAGCTTATTTTTAAATACATTTTGTTAAAAAAGACACTGTGAGAATCTTGCTTTAGGTCAGAGGTGGAGAACATGGCCCCTTTATGACTTGTGGACTTCAACTCCCAGAATTCCTGAGCCAGCTGGCCTGGCTCAAGGATTCTGGGAGTTGAAGTCCACCAGTCATGAAGGGGCCATCATTCCCCACCTCTGCTTTAGGTAAAGTTACTGTCATGCCCCTTTTGGAGTCTGAATCCGAGGAGGAAGACAAACAGCTAACAGGGAGTGGGATTGTGGCTCCGTTGGCTGTGGAGGAAACTGGGGAAGGGCAAAGTCTGGCTGGACAGAGCAGGAGACCCAGGCCCACATCCTTTTCATCCTAGGGCATGCAGGGAGGAACGGAGAAAAGAGCATCGTGGGTTGCATGGCTTACGGGGGAGGAAAGGGCCCTGATTCCCTTCATTAGCCACACCTGGGAATGAGAGTTTAAAAGTGCGGCGTCTGCTGGGAATAAACGTGAGTTTATCTTTGGTTATCTGCATTCCTGCCATCCTCCCAACCGTGTTGAATTACTGCCGTTCCTTCATGTCTGGAATTCCTTCTCTTGCCCTGCTGGACTAATTACCTCATCTTGCCTTGATTGGACTTATAGTTACAGTTTTTGTTGATCACATTTTGGACTTGATTCTCTGCAGCCAAAGGCTGTTCCTGGGAGAGTTTTTCTCCAGCCCAGAAGGGGGGCAAAGTTGGAGCTAAGAAAGGGACTCCTACTGATTATCTGAACTTTGTGTCACACCCCGGGTCATTACAGTTACTGCCAAGGATCTGACGTTCATTTGCCCATCAATAGAGCTGGCCTTATCTCTCCCAGATGGGAATGTTTGTCACTAGTGAGCCCATCCCATGTAGGCAATGCAGGTAATCCTTGACTTACAACAGTTCATTTAGTGATCGTTTGAAGTTACAACAGCACTGAAAAAAATTGACTTATGATTATTTTTCACATGACCATTGCAGCGTCCCCATGGTCACATGATCAAAATTTGGATGCTTGGCAACTGGTTCATATTTATGAAGTTTGCAGTGTCCCTGAGTCATGTGATCACCTTTTGTGACCTTCTGATAAGCGAGGTCAATGGGAAAGCCAGATTCACTTAACAACCATGTGACTAACTTAATAACTGCAGTGATTAATTAACCATTGTGGCAAGAAAGGTCATAAAATGGGGCAAAACCCGCTTAACAGATTTCTCACTTAGCAGCAGAAATTTTGGGCTCAATTGTGGTCATAAGTCGAGGACTATCTGTATAGGCAGTATACATCACAGCATAGTTGTGGTACTTTATGCCTTTCTTATTAAAAACAAATTGAATTAGCTTCCAAAGAAGCAAAGGAAACCTTGCAACTGCTGTAGTCGTACCATTTCAAGTTCTTGTTTCTGAGCCTGAAGGAAGTCTTGTTGCTGGCTTAGCTCTTCCTTCTTTTTCTGAAGTTCTAATGTCTGCTTGTGCAATTCATCTTCTTGCTGGGAAATGTGACTTTCAAATTCCTTCAGTTCTTCTTCAGTGAAGACTGGTTTCTGATCCAGAGTCTCGGAAACAAAAGAACAGCAAATCCTTAACTCCTTAAAATAAATCTTAATGGGGAAAAAAATCAGACTCATCTATATCTGTATGGGTGTCCAAGATTTAAGATTTTTGGTGATCACCTACTTTTGGATAAGGAGAAATTGTGCTTTTAGAGCACTCTAAAATTCCTCCCAAGTAAAGGCAAGGACACAATTTCTCAACCTTGCCCTTGCTGTTCCATCAGCTTCACATTTCCTTATTCCATGTAAACGCTTAGAGGTGATTTCCCTTTGGAGTACATTAAAAAAACCAAATTGCAATCAACCTCCTCCTCATTAAAAGGGGAAGAACTGAAGCCAACCACATCACCGAGCAAACCCCAACAGAGACCACCTGCCAACAGAAGACCCTGTGTCTGAGCATTTTCTGAGCTGCTTCTGAAACAGATTGCTCTTCCTCACAACAATAACAAAGATGAACTATGTCTACCATTCTTGGCATTTTCCCTGACTTTTTGTTTGGATGAAGTTGAGTCCAGAAAATATAGGGACTGTATTTGTTTTAAATGGATGGTTATTCACAGACTTAGTTTTCATATCCCCATGATTTCCCTTGGGTACCATGAAATAGAGTGGAACCCCTTAAGGTTCCTTTGTAACTGTAAGGAGAGAAATTTCCAGATACAGTAGTATTACAATTGTATAATATTTTTAATCATAGTCAACTTTGGGATAAAATGTATACATGTTGTAGGAAAAGACAGGTAAAAAAATTCCGCTTCCAACTTTAGTTATTCCTTTGCTCAAATTCTATTGCCATAAAGTGCATGCTTACTCAGTTTTAAACAATGAAGTTGCTCTACAGAGAGAATTATGCAGTGTGTTCTTAGACTCATTGTTCAGATTTTATTTTCATGATGCCATTAATAATGATAGATAAATACAAAAGAACAGATGATGGAAAGTTCAAAATAGTTGGGCCATTTGCTGATGAGTATGATCAATCTTAGTTCAAAAGTGTCATTAGTACCTCCCAGCTTTCTGGCTCCGAAAACTCTTTTTTCTCTGTAGATCTTATGAACTCTTCCATGGTGATTAATCGATCTTTGTTGATGTCAATCTTTTCAAAGAGAAGCAATATATATATATATATATATATACATAGTTTAGGCTATATAATTTATTTGCAGTTCTTAAAACAAATGGAAATGAGGTTGCAGAAAAGTCATGACAGAAATTCCTAGCTAGTGCTAATGCTAAGAACATTTTTGGTACACAATAAAATAAGTTAGGAACAGTTATACTGCATAAAACATAATGGGAATAGGGATGGGAATAATTGACAAGGGCCTAAGGAGCAAAACACAAATTAATCTCATCTCATGGGGTGCTGCAAATATTTCTATCCTGATGATGTGCAATTCATCTGTAACATTTAAAATTCCATGTCACTCAGGTATCAATAGTGTGTGGAATTTAATATTTTCTTGTTAAGTGACAAAACAAAAACAAAACAACCCTCCCCCCTCACATAACCAGATTAGAAATATCACATTTGCATGATAATGGTGAACCTGACAGAAGAATCATTCATTGAAAAACTGGTTTTTGAAATGACAATAGGCTGCTTATTCAACAGTTTGAAGGAAAGGTAAGTAGAAGTTTTAATAATTGTATAGCTTTAAATATACTTACTTTAAAAAGTTGTAAAGTTGTAAACAATAGCATTCTTATTGATTAAAAATAAAGTTGGATTCACACAAATATTCCCATCCCAAGGCAATCATATATGTCAATTTAGTAGATATCATCCAACAACAAACTATAATAAAGCTATCCATATAAGGATAAATAGACATGTGGTAATAAACTTGCACTGTAATGAGGTCAGGAAAGCTCTGAAATAGGCATTTTCAGAAACATGTTTGGGAAATATGCCCACTACTTAAATACATACTTACACACCTGTTTTTAACATTTAGTTAAAACAACAGAAGTTTGCTAACAGTTATTTGTAAAATGTGTGCTCTGAAACCTTACCTCATTCATGACATGTTCTCTCATTCGTTGCTTCTCTTCTTCCATTTCAACCATATCATCCTCTTCATTTTGGGACTCATAAACTTTTTCTAGCTAAGATTAAGAAATTTGCTTTGAACAGGCCTTCCAAATTTTATTATTTGGTTATGAAAATACATTGCTATTAATGCTATTTATTAATTAAACTTACACCTCACTGCAAACAGACAACTCTCAGCAACTTAAAGAAGTACGTGAAATAGCAAAAGTTAAAATATCCACAGTATGATTAACATAATAAACAGCAAAACATAATACAAAGATCGACAAAAATATGTTTATGAGATAAATGTTTTCTTTCTACATATTTAATAGCACATACTTATATTTAACAATCAATTTTGGATTATCTTCCCTTGGGAGATATACAGAGATTATCTGCCTTAAATGTAGCGCATGTTGAACTGTATAGCACAGTCAAACTTCAGTACATGAAATGTTTTAAGACATTTTGTATTATGTCATCAATTGCTTCATTGTAATGTTTATGTCATAAAATGTTTTATGAAATTTGCCAAATTTCAATTCCACAGGAGTCATGGCTCCTGCATTTTGGATGCATTCTATAATTTGGCCCGTTTGAGATACCTTGGATCAAAAGATTTTGCCCTACATTTAAAGGGAAATTATGGTATGTTAGTAGTATATAGATTGATAGAGGAGATTGAAAATTCAATGTTCAAGGTAATTAAATAATTAAGAAATTGAATTAATCTTCTATCCATACAAAAACATCTCACGTATTTTTGAATACATATACCTAGGCCTAGCTATGGGACATACACATGATACCGCTAGTCTCAGCTTAATAAGTGCCAGATATTTGAATGTACTTCACATTAGCTGCTCAGCAATGTTGAAGAAAATTGTTCATAGTTTATAAAACATGAAGTCCAAAATGATGGGAGAGCCTGCTTTTAGATTAGGATATTAAGAGTTTGAGTATGATACATTTAATTAAACTGTGGAAACTCAATTTCCATTCTAACATTTCCATTCAATAGTCATTACTTGCTCATATGCACTGAGCCAAATGAAACCTTGTGATTCTGAAATAATCCAGTTACATATATTTACCTCCCTAGTAAATAGAGCTTCTAATTCCTGTTCATCCAGAAAACCATCAGCATTGATATCTGTTTTAAAAAATGTCATATAAATATGTAATTAGAGACACTAGTACACACCCGTCCATAATTCTAGACCGCAACCAATCCCACTTTAATATTTGTATATGTTGCCTCAAATCATATGGTAAACTACCTGATTAGAAAAAGTGAATGCAAATCCGTGTGTGTGTGTGTGTGTGTGTGTGTGTGTGTGTGTGTGTGTGTGAGAGAGAGAGAGAGAGAGAGAGAGAGAGAGAGAGAGAGAGAGAGAGAGATGCAGACACATACAGTATATTGTTGTATTATATATACTGTTGTATTATATATTTAAAAAAAAAAACATTTCATGCATCTGTTGAAATTCTCTGAAAAAGCACATGCCAAGATACATTTGTTAATCTGAAAAGGGCAATAGGATTGTGAATGCCCAGTGATAATTCTGTTTCTTAATGTTTTTTAACTATAAGTCTTACCATGCAACTTGAAGAAAGTCTTTGGATCAAAATCATTGGGGTCTAAGCCATCTGATTCCTCCCATACCTCTTTCAATTGGTCTTTACTTCCCTGAAAGGTGACAATGAATACCAGTTGTGCAAATAATTTCACAGAAGCTTTGCTTTTAACATAGAGTTAAAATCACATTAGGATACCCAAAGAATCAAGTTAATTTTCCCCTAAAGCACTTTTTTGGGTTGTTTTGTCTGCCATGTACCTTGCAAGAAAAAGATTGTGATACCATTATTTCTCTGCCTCTTTAGTATAAACTCATGGAAAACTACATAGATATAAAATGTATTTTATATTCACCCTAAAAAGAATTTTAATCCCTCCGCAATGCTCATGTAGAATGACTGATTGACATCACTGTGACAAAATGATAGGTAGAATGTAGTCATGCTCCAGTTTCCACAAAAAAGTGGAAAATATAAAGATATTTTTGAAAAAGCCCAGAATCTTTCCGTTTTTTTCAAGAATATCCTATTTTGTAAAGAAATCATTGTATGGGAAGCACAGGAAATGGCATTTATATTTGGTGATAGTCTAATAGCTTAATGAGATCAGTGATCAAAAACCAAGCTCAGAAACTATATATTTTAGTGTGGTATAACACTGTCATGATATTGAAATAAATGAATAAAAAATGATTTAGTATCCATTTAACTGACCCTTATGATCTTGATTTTTTCAGTAAAGGATCTCTGCCAACATGTATAAAATTCTGATGAGTTCCATTATCCTGGGATATGACCATACTAGAGATTTTATTTGATGTGTTCCCTTTCAGCGTCTTTTTAAAATTTGTTTTAAATATATAACTACATTATATATATGTATGTATGTATGTATGTATGTATGTATGTATGTATGTATGTATATGTTTTCTTAAGTTTTTGTGGGTATTTATATGCATGGTATTCAGCTCTGTTGGGGTATTTTCCCACGTCATTATAGTTGTGCTTTTAAAGTTGTAGAGACATTTTGGTGCCACTAGCTACTATAGAAAACCCCAGCTACAGAATTATCAGAGAAGCCATAGAGATTGAAAAAAGACCTGAAAGCATGAATAGAAGAGATGACTCCACCAGACTGTCAATTATCTGGAAGCCTGCACTCACAAAGAAAAAAATCTCCACACCACAAGCCAAGCAAACCCCTGGGCACAAACAGACCCCCCTGATACCTCTAGCTCAAACACACCCCAACCAGGCACCCAGATGAAACCTAGCTTCCTAATAAATGATAGCCGTCCGTTTACTCGGAGCCAAGCCACACTAAAAGCCTCCAATACAGGAAACACAATGTTGCCAGCCAATCAAGACAAAAAAAGCCACAAAACACAGAAGATATTAGAAACACCAATCAAGCAGAACACAGCAAACTCCAAGACCAATAAACACAGACCAAGACTCCCAACCAATCAGGATGAAGAAAAAACCATTCTGGCACAGCAGTAGGCTAGCCCCAAATTTAAAACAGAAACGGCTGTGAAAGTCTGACTCACAGACGAACACAATACAGAAACCTGATGATGGCAGATGAGATTCTGCTGAAACGTTGCTACAACTTTAAAAGCACAACTATAATGACGTGGGAAAATACCCAAAGTTGAATACCATACATGTAAGTACCCACGAAAACTTCACACACACACACACACACACACATATAATTTTGTATAATATTTTAATTGTTATTCTACACAAGAGTTCCCCAACCTTTCCAGGTTGGTGCTTGGAGTGGGGGTTGGGGGGAAAGAGGGGATGATTTTGTGGGAGGGGCAAGCGCAGGTGCGCGGGTGGGTGAGCGCCTGTGATGTTCATGGCCCTGCGTGAGTGGGCTGAAAGTGCTGTAATGAGGCTCACACAAATGGGGTTGCAAGCACCTGCAATGAAGTTTGTCTGAGTGAGACGAGTGCCTGCAACGATGCTTGTGTGAGTGGGGCTGTGCACATGCACAGCGGCATGCGCACCAGCCGGCCACTCACATGTCAGGGTGGTGATAAGACTGTGGCCCACAAATTGGGGGCCTCTGTTCTACACTTCTCAGTGGGACTTTGTGTCATATGAGTGACTATATAAGTTTGATAAACGAAATAAATAAAAATATACAAACCAATACATTTTATACGGTGTGGATAAAAACAGCGGGCTTACAGGATGATTAACTTTGGGGTGATCACCGTGCTTTTTTTTCATTTCCTCGTATTTAGCTTCTTCTTGGTGCCTCTTTTCTTCATCCAGTGTTTTTAAATATTCTCTCCTTTCATGTTCTTTCATCATCTCATAATTCTTAAACTCCTCATGACGGGCTTTGTCATAGTTTTCTAAGTCATGTGTTGCCTGCAAATAAGAGGAGTTAAAAATTTAAACAAAATCTGTTTTTCCCCCCTAGAGTGAGCATAAACATTGTGCTAAGCAGCATTAAGAAACTCCTGTGGACCAGGCCATCTTCTCGTTTCCCTCAGGACATTTTTCTCGGGATATATGCAAGTTCGTAAATAATTCATGAACAATAAATTCCACAACCACCTTCTTCGGATGAACAGAAAATAAAGAGATGAAGAAACTTAGAATTACTGTTGTATATTAAATATCTTCCCTGCATCTAGACTTAAGAGTAAATGTGAAGTAAAAGGAATTTTTAGCCCTACTATCTAAACTACACGTGGTCTTCATTTAGTGACTGCCTTGTTTAACAACCATTCACAAACACAACTGTGATGAAAATGTACCTTTATGACCAATTCTCACATTTATGATCTCCACAGATCTCTAAAGCAAAGAAAGCTGAAATAAGATCATAGGCAAAATTGCAGTTTCACTAAGTTTTTGATGATGTTATGTAGTTGTGTAATGACACTTCTGCAGAATTCAACCCAAATTCTAATTCTTTTACTCATCTAATTATTTTAATTAGATACTTTAATGAGCATTTTAATATTCTTCAGCATCTTATGTAATTCATTTAATACTTTAATTGTCCCCCTCAGGGAGAACTCAGCACTATTTCCTTAATCCCCTGCTTCACTTATGAAGAAGGTACACATGGTGTTACAGGAATTCTCTATCACCGATTATCAGATAAGTAAATGTTACTGACACTAGGGGGTGCTAAAAGCTCATTTTTTAAATATTTCTGCCTCCATCTCTGGAAAATAAGAATAAAAAAAAATGACTTATTTTGAAGTGTGATTGTTAACAGTTACTGTCACAATTAAACTGACTGGCCCTGGACGTTTTATTTTATTTCATTTATTTGTAATGTTTTTATTTTATTTTATTTATTTTATTTATTTTTAAAATATTTTATGTCTTTTATTTATTTTATTGATTACATTTGTCTGCTGCCCATCTTACTTACTCTGGGTGGCTTGCAACATTCAAAGCCATAAAATCATAAAAGATCACTATTTCTAGAAACAATAAAAATAGAATAAACAAAAACATATTTGAAACAGAGGGGTGCCATTTGGACTCACCATGTTTGAAAGCAGCCATCAAACACCCCCAAAGTGATTACCACAAATTTGTTTAAGTGTTCTGCTTTCAGAAAAGGGAAATTATTAGATATAGGCATAGACACATTATGCATTTAGATTTGGGTCATTTTTTAAATAAATGATCCAGTTTGGATAGTGTCGAAGTTGCTAGCCTCGAAATCAAAAGACTGTGAGTTCTAGTCCTGACTTAGGCATGGGAAGCCAGCTGGGTGATTTTGGGCCAGTCACTCTCTCTCAGCCCAACCCACCTCACAGGGTTGTTGTTGCAGGGAAAATAGGCAGAGGAAAGAATATTATATATGTTCACCGCTATGAGTTACATACAAAGTAATAAAGGTAGGGGGAGGAGATCTAATAATAAGTAATAAATATATGCACAATATAATATATGCTTTTCAACCATTCATTTTGATGGCCTACCAAATAGGAGACTTGATCAGGAACGAATAAGTCCCAGAGGTGTTTTTCAAAAGACAACTGGACTTTGTTTTTCCTTGAAGACGTTTCACTTCTCATCCAAGAAGTTTCTTCAGTTCTGACTGAATGGTGGAAGATGGAAGGATTTCTATTCCTCGCAGCAATCCTTTCACCCTCCTCCATTCACTCTTGGATGAGAAGCAAAACGTTTTCAAGGAAAAAACAAAGTCTAGTTGCCTTTTGAAAAAGCACCTTAGGGACAACCATGACTTGGATGACTGAGAATCTCCACATGCACAGACCTCTAAGGTGTGGACAAAAAGGGTTGTTTTCTTGCGGCTCAGCTGGGAAGAGAGGGGCATTACTTTCCTCCTTCCCTCCTGCAGCAGGGATTAGCACAGCTTCCTTCATAGGAGTCCGCCCTATCTTTATTTTTTATTTTTCTGCTCAACCATTCCTGATTCTCAGAGACTGCCTAGAGAAGTTTTCTTGGGAAAGTTTTTCAGAAGTGGTTTGTTATTGCCTCCTTCCTGGGACTGAGGGGTTGACTGAGCCAAGATACCCAAGTCAGGAATAGAACTTACAGTGTTCTGATTTCTAGTCTGATGCCTATAAGCCAGGAGTGGGATTCTACTAGTTCGCACCTATTCGCTAGAACCAGTTGTTAACATTCTAAGCAGTTCAGAGAACTGGTTGTTCAAAGAAATTACTGGCCTAATCCTGTAAGGAAGGCAGGAAGGAAACATTCTGGTGTTGCTTACAGAAACTGCTTCTCAGTTAACCCTTATTACATTCTTGGCAGGACTAGATTTCCTGTCTCAGGAACTTCTCTGGAGTTTTTTCCCCCTCCTTTGCTGGTACTTTCCTTGTGTGGAGTGACCACTCAAAGTTACAATGGCACTGAAAAAAGTGACTTATGACCATTTTTCACACTTATGACTGTTGCAGCTTCCCCACAGTCATGAGAGGCCAGGCCACGCCCAGCCAATAACATGACCAACAAGCCACGCCCACCAACTAAGCCACGCCCACAGAACCAGTTGTTAAAAATTTGAATCCCACCTCTGGCCTTAACTATTACTAGTCTGATGCCTTAACTATTACTCTAACTGGCTCTACATACTATCTTTACACATTCATTTATTTCAGTTATATTTTTCATATCTGCAGTTCTGTTCCCCGATGGAAGCCCTCAAGAGAGAGACCATCTCTTTTATTTATTTTTTAAAGTTAAGTTTTAATTAGTAAGTTAATTAATAAATGCAATGGTTCATTTATCCGTGGAGCAGTGTTAAACAAATGTATACTTCATACTTTAAAGCAATTCAGGATCTGCTGCATTGAAGAAGCTTTTCCCGCCATCACTTTTTAAGTTGCAAATGAGATGATACCTTTCTAACATTGCAAAATAAACTGTACTATTATTTGGAAAACTGGGCAGATTTAAACTGATTTGAATACTAATTAAACAGACTGTTAATCCAGTAAAACAAGATTGGTTAACTAATATAAAGTTACTTCCAAGTATAACACATTGTGAGAAGGAATTAAATTGGCTCAGTTTAAAGGTTTAAAGACTTAGTAAAAATATAAAGCTGCTTATATTGGCTTGAGAACCTTCATTCCATGATGCACTCACTACAAGGAACACAAGCAGATGGGTGGAGGGCACTTGTTAAGTGCACAAATCTTGTGTAACACATTATACTATGGATCCAAAATGGAGTTCCAAGTTAAGATTCCCGAGATAATTATGAAATATATTTAAAACTGATAAATTAAGAGAAAATTTCAGACCAATATAGAAAAAAATAAAATAAAAAGAGAGAAAACAAACATTTGAGAAAATATTTGCTGGACACTTACAGCTTTGATTAGCATGTCTAAATCTTTAACTTCAAAAGTGTGAGGGTTTTGATGGTTCAGATGCTCAAACTGTTTGAGAAGAGCTTGATGGTCTATGCCAGAATCTAAAAGCAACCCACACAAAAAAACAGAACCATGGTAACTACATTGATAGATACAATACAACAAGCACTGGGTAGAATTCAAGAGCATATCTTAAAAAGCAATTCATATTTTATGAAGATATTCACAACATACAGCATTTCACGAGATTCAACGGAGGTTTTAAATTAGATGAAAAATGCCCAGGCAATGTAAAAGGAAACATGGTGTTGTTGTTGATGTTGTTGCTACCAAGATAGAATCAAACATATAGACCCAGACTCCAGATTTTTATATTGACTAGCCCAGATCTTGAATTGTTTTCAATCCTGATGATAGGATGGCTTCCTCCATGGCATGTGAGGATAATAGGCCTGCTCAGGACAGGCCAAATTGCTTGGGGTGATTCTTCCCTCTTAATCTGAAGACAATTTCTCAGTTGGCTTGGCTTAACGTCTGCTTATGTGGAGATTACAAAAATCTGCTTGACCTTAATGACAGGGACAAGGTGTAGAGAGAATGAGAATATATGCCAGTCAGGAAAAACTATTGATAAGAGACAGAAAAACCTGTATAACTGGACCAGCATTGGGCGCTTGAGATTATGAATAAATTTAGGTTGCAAAGGACAGTGCTTGGGTGTTTAAATAAGAAGAAGAAGGAACGTCCACAGTATTCTTAATGTAATGACATTTTTAGAGAAGAACGTCTCTACTTTTGCTACTTGTTGACATGCCATGCAATCCAAGCAAAATGCAGGTTTGCAGCTACGAATTAAATTATTAAATTATTTTCCCACAGATATTTTTTTTTAATACACTTGACAATTTTTACTAAGGAAATAAAGGCACACTAACCATTTCCAAATCAGGAAATTATAATCCTATCCCTCTCCAAAGAATTATGCCTTTTGGGAGCCTCTATATAAGATGAAGAATATAAATTTTAAAGTCACAATATTTTATTAGTAATATTATTTATTATACCCTATTGGAGTATAATCAGAAAGTTTAAAAAATTGATATAAAATGTTCAGATCTCCATTAAGGCAACATTGGTTGGTATGAAGTGCTTTCTTCCTGTAGCCCACTCTATCTTCGTAACATTTGAGAAGTGACCTGCAGTGTAGTGATATGATTTGGAATGGAATAGATTTAGTCAAAATAAGAGAAGGGAAAAAGAAATGTAAAAGGGATAACTGTGTAAAACTGGCCCTAACTCTCCAACTTATCTTCTGGTGTTGACACGCATGCATTGTTTTTCTATGTCAATATGGAAAGGGTTTGCCATTGCCTTTGTCTGGATTGTTGCTTTTTAGGATTTTCCACTTTGGTCTACATACCAAGAACTTCCTGGTTGATTCCATCTAAACACTATTGATCTGATTCTGTTTAACTTTTTGAAATGAACCAGAGCCACTTAATTTTACCATCTGCTGTAGGGAAGATTAAAACTGTTCCACAATCAAAGTGGTCATTACATATGATGAATTTTCATGATTTGAAAATTGGATTATTATCTGAAATACTGCATTCTTCCTACACAGAGGTTTACTTGAATGGTTTATTTAAAAAAAATAACACAAAGCTACATGGCAATGTCACAATGGAAACCCGTTCTTTAAACTGATTCAATTTCACGCCATTTATATTGCAGATGTTGTTTTTTCAGAATGAGCTTGTCATTCTCACCCCTAATTTTTGAGAACAAGAATATGTAATGAAGTAAAAAAACACACCAAAGGAACAGTTTTATCTGAATCAAACACAGCTGTAAATGAAGGAGAAAATTGAAACATTATTGCTAATTCATCCATTTTCCCCTTTGTCTGCTTACCTTGATATGCATCAATCTTGGCTTTGATTAGCATCCTTAATCTTGCAACTTCTTGTCTTTTCAGTTCATCCAGTTTTGTTCTCACCTTATGGCCAACTAAGTCTAGCTCTTTGCTAAACTTTCCATTCTGTCAACAAAGCATTGACATAAACAAAGCATTGACATAAAAAGTCGTCACAATTATTTTTCTAGAGGATAATTTCATTGGTTACCAATGTATAACTGAATGCACTAAGTAAAATAATAATATATTCGCCTAAAAGAAACCAAGATCTGAAATTTTCAAACCCCAAGCAAAACTTTAAAAGCAGAGGGCAGGAGCACTGATGACAGAGGTGGTATTCAGAAGGTTCTGACCAGTTCTGGAGAACCATTAACAGAAATTTTGGGTAGTTCGGAGAACCAGCAAATACCACCTCTGACTGGCCCTGCCCCCATCTATTCTCTGCCTCCTGAGTCCCAGCTGATCGGCTGGGTCCTCTTTTGCTGCCCTGCACAGAAGAATGGAGCTGGAAAGCAGGTTAGTGGGGTGGGGAGGGAATGGGGATTTTGCAGTATCCTTCCCCTGCCACGCCCACCAGGCCACACCCACAGAACCAGTAGTAAAATTTTTGAATCCCACCACTGATTGATGAGTATCCTTTTTACTTAATAATTCAGTGAAAAACAGTAAACTGATTAAAAACATCCTAAATAGCATATATACCAAAGACTGGTAACGATGTAACAGAGTTTATGCACAATTTCTGTCCATCCATCTGTCCGTCCATCCATCCACCCATCTGGCTTACATGACCTCCCATCTCACCAAAACTAACTCTGGGTGGCATAAATTAATCCAGTAAAATAATCCAATTTTCAGCTCCTAGACAGATTTTTGAGACACTTCCCCCCAGAGGCAGAGCCTTCAGCACTAGCAGCACTTTGTGTTTTCTCTGAAATGCTTTAATAGATGTGTCACTAACAGTATTTTGAAGCCAATATATTTAGACTACAATTATGTACACTATGCAGCATCTTCTACATCACAATCACTCTGGATTGTCATTTCTATATTGAACTGAAATCTTTGGAATGGATGACACCAAGAGCGCATGTTGTAACAAGTCATACCCTGATACTGAGATGATTTGGTTTATTAAAATGCACCCTGGAAAAGGCTGAACAATAACATTTTCGTTTAACATTAATTTCACGGGTAGTTTCCCAACACTATGTCTCAGCTGTTGTTTTCATGCTGGGAGTCAGAAAGGAAAATCACTCCTCACTTGAAGTGAGCTGCTGCTTATTAGCTATTGAATACCAAACTACCTTTGATTGGCCTGGTTGAAATCCATCAGACAACAGGCAAAGTTGCATAGGAGAGTATGGATTAATGGATATTTTAATCTGGATAAAACATTTGTTCCGGGGTAGTAGAAAAAAATAACAGTACTCAAGAAGATCACAGCATAGGAATGTTAAAGTATTTCTAAAACTCTTCAAAATACTTCAGCTACAATTGTAGTAGTTACTCTGCACTACAAGTACACTAGCATGGACACATATCACAAATTAATACAGGATCCAAAATAATTCATTTTATTTTCCATAGATTCTTTTTCTAACTAGAAAACAGAGAATTCTAGCTTTTGGTGTTTCCCCCCCAAAAGCTACATATTTAGCATTGTTTCAGAGACATGCTTATAGCAAGTGATTTAATTCTCTCTCAATGAACACAGGGAAGGTAAAACCAATGACCTCATTTTTTTTCATTTTATTAAAATTTACTAGTTATTATATTTACCTTTATATCCTCCATGTTTGCTGTTTGGAGTTTCTCTCTGAAATGTGTATCTGTCTCCAAAACGTCTATCACTTGCCTGAGATAGGCATCATAATACAATCCAGTGTCCTTTAAGATATACATATAATTACCATTTCCTTATTAAAGTAGAGGCAGGGATGAGAAATGTTGCTTTATCTATATAAAATATTTCATCTACAGTAGGTATTCATTATCCTTGCTGATTTTCCAACAACCAATTATAATCTTTTCTTGTTCAGTGCTGAAGATGTAGTAGTGGTAGTTTGAATCAATCCTCAACATTACGGCCATTGCGGTCACATAATTAGTATTTGGGCAACTGGCAACTCGCTTGCATTTACGACTGCATATAAATACAACCTGCCTATCTCCTTCCATATCTCTGTCCTTTTGCCCCCCTCACACCGCTAATGATACCTATCACTACTACAACCCCCCTCGCTGCGTCCAGCTTATCTTCACCATCTTCTTTTCTTTGCTGCTGGTCCTGGATCCAGGCGCTGGGCAAGGGTGTAAGCCTCAAGATATGCACACTATGAGCAACGTTGGATGGCAGGGCCAGGCCTGGTTTGTGAAGAGGGACTTGCGAAGGGGTCACCAGGGGCTTGCAAAGTCTCACAAGGCCTTGCACACTGCCAATAGCTGCCACCCACACCACCACTCTGTCTCTTTCCCCAGTCAGACCCAGCAAGCTGCCTTCAGCAGACAAAGCTCTGCCACCCTGCTGCACACCTTGGGGTTGTGCCCTTGCCCAGCACCTGGATCTCAGGCTAGTAGGGGAAAAAAGAAGATGTCGAAGATGGGGAAGTATAGATAGGTATCAGTGGTAGAGTGCAGGATGGAAAAAGGGCAGAAATGGGGGAAGATAATGGAGGGCAATTGAAGCACACACTGAGGTTATAATTGAAGGCCAGGTGCCCAAATTTTAAGCAAGTAACTGCAGAGGCAATACACTGGCCATAATTTTGAAGACTGGTTGTAATTACCACTAATTCAGCAATGTCATAACTTCAAACAGTTGCTGAATGAATGGCTGCAGAGGGAGGACTACTGCAAATGCTAAAATTTGAGCTAAATTGACCTCAGGGGTGGGATCCGACAGGTTAAACTACCGGTTCGGTGATTTACGATGTGCTTCCCTGCATGCTGCGCGTACATGTAAATCTTCGTCAACTTGCTGCCTGGACAGCTGAGCAGCGCTGCGTGCAGGGAAGCAGCGTTTGAAACAGCACTTTTTTCCTGCTTTTTCAACCGCAGCTGTGCCTTGAACGGTAGCAGAGGTTGAAAAAGCAGGAAATAAAGGTCAGGTAAGAGCCCAGGCGAGTGGTGGGCCAAAAGAGCAGTAGACATAGAACTGGTTCTATGTCTGCTGCTCTTCAGAGCTACCGGTTCTACAGAGCCGGACAAAACCAGTAGAATCCCACCCCTGTTCCACCTGCATTTATTATTTTTGCAAATAAGGCAGTGATAATGCATCCCAAACACCTTCCTTCTCCTATACTCCCCATAACAACAACTCTTTGAGGTAGGTCAGGCTGAGAGAAAGTAACTGACCCAAAGTCTTGAACCATATTGATTCAAAATTGTCTACTATAAGGAGAGAACTCTGTAGAGAAACCTGTAGGGGGGGAAAGTAGTATTAACCAATGCAGATCAATGCACCTGTTTTGACTTTGGTTAGTCCTGCCTCTTTCATTAGTATAACACTTGGGACTAAAATTTGAGCTAATTCCACCTTCATTTATTATTTTTGCAAATAAGGCAGTGATAATGCATCCCAAAACACCTTCCTTCACCTATACTCCCCACAACAACAACTTTGAGATTGGTCAGGCTGAGAGAGAGTAACTGATCCAAAGTTATCCAGTTGGCCTTTCATGGCTAAGGTGGGAATTGAGCTCATAGTCTGCTTCTTTCTAGCCTGGTGCCTTAACCCACTAGACCAGGGGTCCCCAAACGTGGCAACTTTAAGACTTGTGGACTTCAACTCCCAGAATTCTCCAGGCAGCATAGCTGAAGTCCAAAAATCTTAAAAGTTGCCAAGTTTGGGGACCTCTGCACTAGACCAACCTGGCTATAATTAAAGATATTAAGAAATAATCTGCAGCCTAGGACAATGCTTTAAACCTCACTTTGCTTTTATTTAACTTTTTTTGTCTTGTCTTTCTTTGGCTCTAATATTCCCAGAACCCAATAGGGATATATCTAGATGCAGCTAATCTGTATGCCACAGAGGATCTAAACACTGGTAATATATTAATTCTAGTCTGAAATATTGCATTGTTGGAAAAGCCGCTATTGAAAACCACATTTAATTAAAGGACTTACCGGATTATCTACTTTTTCGGTGTATGTTTCTTCCTCCTTCACTTTTGTCTTGTCTACATCTATTGGCACTGCTTCCAATATAATTACAACATAGGTCAGCAGCAAAACACATTGTTGTAGTAAAGTAGTTCTCCATCTTATCTGAAATAAAACAAGATATCACTCTGAGCAATTTCCAGTATTAAACACTTATTTTTCCCTGCTTTTCCCAGTGCCGATATGTGACTCCATCATAATATCCCTGCACTGGTCTTTCCTCTGCCAGTCTCTATAAGGACCTTACAGCACATATCAAACTGAGACTGACTCTAGTGTGCAGTACACCTCTGCAAACCTAACCTGTTTCCTACCCACACATAATATTTATTACAACAGCCAGCATACTTCCATTTTATGCACACCAGACCACAGCTATCTATACCTATTTTCCTCTCCCCGTTTTCAATTTACAATCAATCAATCAATTTTTATTACGGTCACACAATAGCATTACAAATAAAAGCATTAAAAACAACAACAATAAAAAGTAAAATGAACAACAGACAAAATAATATATTACAATTAGTGGTAGATTACCCAGTCAAGGGCCTGCCTAATTTTGCATACAGCATAACAGAATTTGGCCACATTCAAAGAAATTACTCCTTACTGATCTGATAGCAGTAGTTGTGTGTACAAAAAGATCAGTATTTAGTTTAGTTTTCTTTATTGTCATTGCACCTCGTATAACGAAATCAAACACCATCTTCAGTGCACATCATGACCATGAAAATAAACACAAACACACATCCTTCACCCTTCACACATTGAACCGGAAACCCCGACTCCACACCAACACTGCACTATACAGCAGAATTCAAAAGATCTACTGCCCTGGGATAGAAGCTGTTTTTCAGCCTATTTGTCCTTGTTTTTATTATTCTGTACCGTCTGCCAGATGGTAATAGTTTAAAAAAAAAGGGTGCCCAGGATGAGATGGATCTTTGAGAACGTTTTGAACTTTCTTAAGGCAGCGGGAGCTATAAAGCTCTTCCAAAGAGGGGAGAGGGTAACCAATGATCTTCTGGGCAATGACATTAACCTCTGGAGCGCTTTCCTATCTGCCACTGTGCAATTGGCAAACCATACAGAGGTGCAGTATGTTAAAATGCTCTCTATGGTGCAGCGGTAGAAGGTTACCAGCAGTTTCTCATTCAGTTGTTGTTTTCTGAGAAACCTCAGGTAGTATAATCTCTGCTGGGCCCTTTTGATCAGGGCTGCAATGTGGGCACCCCAGGTCAGGTCCTCTTTTAGGGTAACACCCAGAAACTTAAAACTGGCCACTTGCTCCACTCGGTCTCCATTGATAAGCAAGGGCTGGATGTCTGATCTGTTCCTTCCTGTATTTATACTATACTGTAATATCCAGTATTTCCTGGGTATTATATTAGGCAAGGTGTTATAAATCGAGTCCATGAGTCATAATAGGAGATGAAATCTAGCAGGACGTGAGCTGTAGTTTCAATGGCCTCTTGTCCACAAAGGCATAATCTCAGCTGATAATCCTCAATTTACAACAGTTCATTTAGTAACCGTTCGAAGTTACAATGACACTGAAAAATGTGACAATGACCGTTTTTCATAGTTACGACCTTGGTACCATCCCCATAATCATGTCATCAAAATTCACAACTGGTTGACAACTGGTTCCTATTTATAAACTTTGCTGTGTTCCAAGGTCGCGTGATCACTTTTTGTGACTTTCTGACAAGCAGAGTCAATCGGGAAGCCAAATTCATCTAACAACCAGATTACTAACTTATCAACTACAGTGATTCATAACAACGGTGGCAAGAAAAATCATAAAATGGGGCAAAACTCACTTAACAAATGTTTCACTTAGCCACTGAAATTTTAGGCTCACTTGTGGTTGTAAGTCAAGGAAGTTTTTGTGAGAAAGCCCTGAACCATGTTGATTCAAAATTGTCTACTCTAAGGAGAGAACTCAAACCTGTAGGGAAAAAGAGTAGTATTAACGAATATGCAAAAATGTACATCCATGCACCTGTTTTGACTTTAGCTGGTCCTGCCTCCTTCCTTAGTATAACATTTGGGACACAGTGCACTACCTTAAATATAGCTCTTAGGAATTTGGACTGCATCCTTTCCAGAGGAACAAAAGAAGAGTCAAAAAGAGCAGTTGTGCAATAGTCTGAGCTGAATGTAACTTCACTTTTGCTGGAATAGATTGTGGTCTTCTGGAAAAAAAAAGGTCCTTTTGCAAAGATCTTGGTTTTATTACTGTAGATTTCAAAGGCCTCTTCAGAGCAGTAACTAGCCAGAGCGTTCAAGGCTCATCTAAGTCCAACTTGCATTTGTGACAAAAGTACGATATCCTTTGTACATAACAGGGATGCATTATGTCTATTAGTTAATTTTGAGGGAGGGTGCTCTAATTGGTTTAATTGGGCCACAAGTGGATTTACAGAGAGATTAAACAGCAGAGGGGCTAGAATGCATCCTTGCCTTTCTCCTCTCTAGGCTAGAATTTCAGTAGCGTAGTGGTCTTGCATGCTGCATTGATTCTGGAGTTTTTGTAAAGATTATGCATTAGCAATAATAGGCATCTGTCAATGTTTGTATGCAGAAGCTTAGACCAGGGCCTTTCTCTGGGAACTACTAGATCGAATATGGACCTGAATCAATAAATGTAATATATAAAGATGAGCCTGGTTTAGACATGTGCACTATTTTTCGGCTAAGTGTTGAAGAATAATGGCATGTTAATAATTAGTGTCCAGACCTCAAGCCTGCTGGCTCATCTGCAATACGTGCTCTAAATCAATCCAAATCCAATTGACTAATTTGTGGTACACATCTCTATCACAGAGTCTACTAATTATATTTAAGAGGCTAATAGTTAACTGACAGGTTTTGGGTGCCCTTTTTGTAAATGGACACAATAATGGCTAGGCCCCAATCCTCTGGAATTTCCACAGTGTGATCAATATAAGTAACTGGAAGGCAAGAAAAGGGGTCTACCATTCTAGATTATTTCGTAGTATTTCAGATATGATAAAATCATTGCCTGGAGCTTTAGCAAGCTTTAGCTGATCAGTCATCTCCAATTAACGACTCCATAATCCCTTGCGGGATGTAGTCTGGGCAACTTAATGGAGCCGAGTGTTTACTGCCGGATGCCCTTCCTGCCACCAATGCGGAGTTATATTCAGCAGATATATTCTCATCTTGCCCAGAGAGAGAAGTATTTGCCTCTACCTAGGATTGAACTCACAGCCTCCTGATTGTGAGGCAAGAGCTCCACCTCTAGGCCACTGCACCAAAGCTTTCACTGATCAATGAGTGGCTTTATTTCAGAACTTGTAACTGGGGCCCAATTTGGAAGCAGGTTAACGTCAGGAATCTTGTGTGAATATAATGCTCTAAATGCTCCCCCCCACTACAGAAGGAGGTTTAGGATAAGGGAGTAAAAAGGACTTAATCAAATGGGTAGGAGACTATCGGATGCCAAAACAGAGTAGAGTTCCAGGCTTGAGATACTGTTATCAATAGCTACCAGAAAATTCTGGTGAACTTGTTTTTGGCTAGATGTTTGTATTGTTTCTTCAGGAATATAAGCTCTTGAATAGGATGCTCTGCTGGGTTCTCTTTGTATACTTTAAATTCTCTCAATCAATTCATTTTTAAACTCAAAAAATTCTGTATATCAAACCAGAATTGAGGGAGGGTAGGCCTTACCCACTTGTTTTCTTCTCTCTCTCTCTCTTTTTTTTTTTTTTTTTTTGATATCTGAGTGGAGAGCACTGTCTGGAGTAACTGCATAAATTGGACAAGTATCTGCAAAGGGGAATTCTCAGAGCTCTCACTAACTATGGTAGTATGGAGATGCAATGCTGCTTCAAATAGAAGCAGCTGAGAGGTTTACTCACTACGTTTCTGGGAGCATTTAATACAGGTCAGCCCCATTCTGGATCGGATTCCCAAACTGGAATGGGTTCTGTTTCCATAAAACAATTATTGAAAGGTTTTATGGCTGTAATACCTAAGAGATGATCACGGTCAGTTTATCAATTTATAACAATCCTGTTTTCAAAACCTACCGGGGATTATGTGCCCATAAACCTTATGCCCTTGGTTTGTTACGCAAGCAAGACCTTCCCAACCTCCTTCATTCTCTTCCCAAGGCTTCCCTCGCTCCTGGACCTTGAATTTAAAAACCATTTGCAATCTGAATTCCTTCCAACTCAATTTCTTTTTTCCATCCTCCAGTTGA